TGGGGTTTCTAGGTGTGATAGACCACCTGAAGCAGTAGAACTCCCCAAGAAAGTAATTTTATCTGTGTCATACACCAGATTCCTTTTTTTCCAAATCAAGCTTCTTTTGTCAAATGGAAAACTGGATGAAGACTGCAAATTGGATGAAGTTGATGGGTGAGAGGGTTCTTGATCTTCTGTTTCTACAAGAGGAGGATCAATGTCAGCAGTTTCATCCACATCATCCACATCATCATCATCAACATCGTCGTTCTCCTCCTGCAACACTCTTATAACTTCATCAGAATCGCGGTTTTCATCATCGGAATCTTGGTCATCGAGGTCATCTTCTGAGAGCCAACCGCCTTGTAACTTACTAAGATAATCTTCAATATCTCTTTCATTCAAGTTTCCCTAAAAAACAACATAAAATAAACATTTACAAAAAAATGTTTGCCATACATTACAAGTGAAATTACTGCATAGTGATGTAAATTTCCATCACATAGTTTTGAGAAATTTATTCACAGTGTTTTGATATAAATTGTACATAAAACAACAAAAACATGAAAACAAACCTTTTTTCCACTCATTTTCACTTTTATTGTATTTTATATCTCCGTTTATTTCCTTATAACAAACTAAAATCTCGCTCCTTTTTTCCAGTCACAACAAACAGCGGAATGACAAGTTCTAGGCCTGGTAATTGACAGTGACGTTTGCTTTTTTTTGACAACTGCGTTTTGTTGTACGCAATAGTCGTTTAAAATGTTGCCAGCAACAACAAATTTATTGTACAAGGGTTTTGAGTACCTTTTTTTGTTGACTAAATATTATGATTGAAATTTCCCTCATCATGCAAAGAAGGGTTAAGGGATATTACCAATGTATAAATGTGTGTTCAATAATTGTAAGGAAATTACTGTAAGGCGCGTATTGAGAGGAGGTGCTAATGAATGATTTTGCAATTCGCACCATTGTGCAATACCATATAGTGGGAGTCTTCTAATGTCATTGGCCGGATTCGTGAGTCCGTTATTCTGAACGTGAGAGCGCTAAGCAATATGGCGTGGTGTAACGCGTAACGTCTGGAGACTTATTTTATATTCTAAATATGTTATTATATTTGTAGTCACCCGTTAGATTAGCGAATCGTACGTATCGTGTGTCGTTGTGGCGAGGACGAACAGAAGGATCCGAATATTCCCGAATTGGGAAGAACAAAAATCCGCGTGCGAGAAACACAATCGTACACTCTTACGTAAACATCGTACAAAGCCGGTTGTCAAGCATTGTTAATCTTTGTTAGTTCCTGTTGAAGTAAACAGTTGATTAGTCCGCCTTTCACACACGAGAATTATAGTGTGAGTGGGGAAGAGGTACCAGAGTAACACAATAGATGGAACGTATGTACACATATAACGGTTCTGACTAGATAGCGTACGTTCTTCGCCTGTCTCTTCCTTCTTCTGTGAGATCTCGTAGAGTGAGAACGTGTGTTGCGTATTGCTGTGAATTATAGAATCGCTTGCTTTGCTAGAACTGATTTGTTGTATCGTCGTGATCTGGGTTGGTGTGAGATTGACCATTTTACTAATAAACGAACTGACGTTGAGCTTGTATAATATATTTGGTTGAGTATTAAATTGAATCAACGTTAACAGTTCCTAATAAACTTACTACATATTATGAAACGTATTCTGTTAATCTTGTTATATCCCGTTAGGAATATTACCTCTTTTCCTTGCACATTTTTTCGCAACGCGAAGAGCGAGCGAAAATCGTCAAATCAGCGACACGTCAAGCTACGCGCGTAGTCGAGAATCCTCGAGACGTTGACCGACGGGACGTTGACCAACGGACCGGACGGATCAGCAATATCGAAACACCGCCACGACGACTCGAGAATTCCCTGACGAACAATAGCTTGTTGCTACCCCGTACCTTCCACGTTCTTCAACAAAGGGAGGGGGAAAAACACTATAAAAGCAATTGTCCAAACCGGGCAAGTTGCTTCTCCTTATTGTAATTCGTTCTTGTTAGACGGTGCTTCGTCTGCGTTTCTTCACGCGTAACGGCGAGCTGAGCGACAGCGGTCACTCAGCTGTTCAGTATCGGGTTCCGTGACGTTTCCTATTCAGTGCGACGCGACTTTGCGATTACGCGCGGCCTAACAGGCGAGTTCGATAAGACACCGGACCGCGAAGTGTGACGTCCGAGACGGTGATAACGTATCCCGCAGTGCCCGACCCCTGCATCACGGCTCCGAGCGCCAGCAAGTATTCCGCCCCTTCAAGGACCCGAAACCCCGACTGAACCAGCCGCAAGCGTTAATCATTCATCATCATTGGTATGTTAAGACTTCATTGTATATTTTATTTTATTCATTGTTAGAATATATCTTGTTGTTGTTATAAACGAGAGTGATTTCCAATCCCTCCCGTTCCATATCCTAATTCTGTATATCATCGGTAAGTTTAGACAGGGCGTGCTTTAGCACCTTAAAGGAGCC